GTTAATTTTCTGTCTCAATTATCTGTCTAATACTGTCAGTGTGGTGTTAAAGTCTCTCGCTATTATTATGTGGGAATCTAAGCCTCCTTGAAGGTCTCTAAGAACTTGCTTTATAAATCTTGGTGCTCTTGTGTTGGGTGCATATATATTTAGTGTAGTTAGGTCTGCTTGTTAAATGGAACCCTTCACCATTGTGTAATGCTCTTCTTTGTCTTTTTTAATATTCATTGGTTTAAAATCTGTTTTGTCAGAAACTATGATTGCAACCCTGCAATTGTAGTTTTCCATTTGCTTGGTAGATTTTTCTCCATGCCTTTATTTTGAGCCTATTGTGTTATTGCATGTGAGATGGGTCTCTTGAAGACAGCATACCAATGAGTCTTGGTTCTTTATCTAACTTGCCATTCTGTGTCTTTTTTTTGAGACAGAGTCTTGCTCTGTCTCCTAGGCTGGAGTGTGGTAGCACAATCTCGGCTCACTGCAACCTCCGCCGCCTGGGTTGAAATGATTCTCCTGCCTCAGCCTCCCAAGTAGGTGGAATTACAGGCATCCACCACCATGCCTGGCCAATTTTTGTTATTTTTTAGGAGAGACGAGGTTTCATCATGTTGGCCAGGCTGGTTGTGTACTCCTGGCCTCAAGTGATTTGCCTGCTTTAGCCTCCCAGAGTGCTGGGATTACAGACGTGAGTCACCATACCTGGTCTGTTTGATGACCTTGAGGTTTTGATTGTGGTGTAAGGTGGATTCAGCCAACTGGCTTCATTTATGGGATATTTAAGGGGCCAGTGCCCAGCTCCCAACTCCTGGACTGCATGCTTTAGCTCTGGGGTACTTGTTTTGGGCCCTGACTTTGTTCTCTGGCTCCTTGAGGTTTGAAATCCACTGCACTGGGGGACTGAGGTACTGCAGCTACAGCAGAATGGCTGGCAGATGCAGGGTGCCTGCCTTCCTGTGGGGGTTCACCACAGTGGTGGTGGCAAAGCAGCTGAGGTGGGCATGGGGGGCTCCTGCTGGAGACTGTGCAGTCACTGTGGAGGTACTGTAGGCATGGGGCGGGGTGCTGGTGGGCACAGGTCTAGGTGCCTTTTCTGTGTCCTGCAAGCAGGAGTCATCACTCAGGGTCCAGGAGGATCCACCATTCTCTGCTCAGTGTTAGGTCAAGGGCAGGGTGCTGGTGGGTATGGGGCTTGCTGGCTCTGTGTGTGCCAAGGCTTCATCTGCAATGGAAGTCTGTGGGGAAAGGGAAGGCCGATTGGACTCCTGTGTGCTGGTGGGGGAAGGAAATCAAACCCACCTGTGCAGACACCAGCTGAGTGATGTGGCGAGTTGCCTGGGCCCAGGGGAAGCTGCAGTATGAGGAGGGAGTGGGCGGGGTGGTGTGTGGCCACTGGGGCTGTCTTGCTGGAGCTCTCCACTGGTCAGGCACAGTCTGCCAGCACAGAAGCAATGGCAAAGGCCCCCAGGGTACCCAAGACCGCCTTGCAAGCAGGCATGGCCAAGCTGGAACCCCAGGAGAAGCCAGAAGACCAAGGGGTGCTCAGGTCGGACCGGTCCCATCTGATGGGCAAGACCAACCTGCAGAGATCAGGTCTGACGCTTCCCCTAGGCCCAAAGTCTCCTATGGGAGCAAGTCAAGCCTGGGGAGTGGCCATCCCTGGCTGTGTTCCCACACTAGACCCTCTGGGTTCCGCTTCAGCTAACTGCTGCCCCCACCACTTCTCTAAGCAGCTCTCTCTGCCAACTAGAGTGTCCATGATGGCCACGGGGTCTCCCCCAGCTGGGGATCCACAGGGCCATGGCAACAGCTCCTTGCCCATTTAACTCCCCCATTTTCCCAGAGCGGTTGTGGGTCCAAAAATGAGTACCAGTGCTCAGTAGTCCCAGGCAGGGTTCCCAGCTTTCTCCCCTTCAGCCCAGCTTTGGTGCGCTCCCTCCATCTGCCCTCAGCACCTTCCCTCTGAAGATGTGTTAAAAGCTCACCAGTCATCTCAGGCCCTCTGTGGGAGCTATATCGCCTGGCTGCATCTGGCCGGCCATCCCACCCCTCCAGTCCACATGAACTTCTTATTTCTGTTTTTGTCCTTATTACTCAGAACTCGGGCTTTGGCCTCGACTTTCATGGGGTCTCTTCCAGGGAAGGTGAGAGGGTTCAGCTGCATCCTGGTCCTCCTGACCAGCTGTGGGAGGGACCAACGGTCCCATCTGCCCAGAGGAGGGAGGTTTGCACAGGCTGGATGCTGGGGAAGAGTCCTTCCAGTTCTTACTTTTGGAAAACAGAAAATTTGAGAAATGGCTCATCTTGTTCAGCGTTTATGAGCCTGTCTCTGTACCAGTGGAGGTAACTCAGCTTCTTGCCAGGGACTGTATTTGGGATCTTGCTACGCTGCACAGCCACTGGGCTCCGCACACCCTGCCTCTTGCTTTCCACCCCCATTTGTGCTCTGCATCTCCCTGCTTTGTGCTCTGCAGAACCCCCACCTCGTGCTCTGTGCACCTCCCGCCTCGTGCTCTGCACACCCCTGCCTCGTGCTCTGCATACACCTGCCTCGTGCTCCGCGCACCTCCCGCCTCCTGCACCGCGCACCTCCCGCCTCCTGCTCCGCGCACCTCCCGCCTCCTGCTCCGCGCACCTCCCGCCTCCTGCTCCGCGCACCTCCCGCCTCCTGCTCCGCGCATCCCCGCCTCCTGCTCCGCGCATCCCCGCCTCCTGCTCTGGGCACGTCCCGCCTCCTGCTCTGGGCACGTCCCGCCTCCTGCTCTGGGCACCTCCCGCCTCCTGCTCTGGGCACCTCCCGCCTCCTGCTCTGCGCCCCTCCCGCCTCCTGCTCTGGGCATCCCCGCCTCCTGCTCTGGGCATCCCCGCCTCGTGCTCTGCGCACCTCCCGCCTCGTGCTCTGCGCATCCCCGCCTCGTGCTCTGCGCATCCCCGCCTCGTGCTCTGTGCACACCCTGCCTCGTGCTCTGCGCACCTCCTGCCTCGTGCTCTGCGCACCCTGCCTTGTGCTCTGTGCATCTCCCACCTCACGCTCTGTGCATCTCCCACCTCACGCTCTGCACCTCTACCTCATGTCTGTGTACACTTGTGTCTCGTGCTGTCTGTTCTTGATCATGTTTGGATGAGACTTTGTGCAATAATTTTTGGCCTGGCCATGGCTTTCTGTTTTTTTCTGGGGGTTATCTTTGTAGGAATTTGACATCAGAGTTGTGACAAATTTTGAAACCTAATTGAGCATCTTTTAACCTGTTCTATGGTCTCCAGTCTCATTTGTATGGTGTCGGGATTATGACTTGTTGGGGAAGTGGGCAGACTCACCCACAGACCATCCAGGCCTGCAGCCCTTTGGGGAATAATCATTTTATAACTTCTAGATTTTCCTTGTGTATTGGTTCATTTAGGTTTTCTACTTCTTATTGAGTCACTTGAAAGTAATTTTCCAGGAGATATCTCCTTTTATTGAAACTTTAATTAATACACAATTGTACATAATATTCTTTTATAATTTGAAAAGTATCTAGGGTGGGAGCCTGTGAAGCCCGAGGACTCCAGGCCTCCCATGTGGCAGGAGGCCAGGCACACATTAATGACTTTGCTTCTTTTGAACACTTTTTTTCCTTGGAAAACATTTCAGATGGAAGATTAGTTGGTTGGTTCCTTTGTAGGCACTTTGTTTGTTTGTTTGTTTGTTTTTGTTTTTGTTTTGAGACGGAGTCTTGCTCTGTTGCCCAGGCTGGACTGCAGTGGCATGATCTCAGCTCACTGCAAGCTCCGGTAGACACATTTTAAGGTATAATTTTTTTTTTTTTTTTTTTTTTTTTTTTGAGATGGAGTCTCGCTCTGTCGCCCAGGCTGGAGTGCAGTGGCCGGATCTCAGCTCACTGCAAGCTCCACCTCCCGGGTTCTCGCCATTCTCCTGCCTCAGCCTCCCGAGTAGCTGGGACTACAGGCGCCGCCACCACGCCCGGCCAGTTTTTTGTATTTTTTAGTAGAGACGGGGTTTCACCGAGTTAGCCAGGATGGTTTCGATCTCCTGACCTCGTGATCTGCCCATCTCGGCCTCCCAAAGTGCTGGGATTACAGGCTTGAGCCACCGCGCCCAGCCCAAGGTATAATTTTTTTATATGGCTCTGAACACTTTCTCTAATATGTATTTGCTTTATTGCTAGGAGAATACTCATGACATGGAGGTAGAATAGAATTTTATAAGCCATAAAGGCATAGATAAGCTAAATTTGACCAGGGATTAGGGAAATGCCACATGACCTCATCAGCCTGGTTGGGGAATACTCAGTCCTCGTGAGGGTGTGGGGCCAGAAGCTGTTGGTGGGCATGGACCCTCCCCCTTGGTGTGGAGAGCAAAGAAAGTGCACACACGTGAGCCCAGCGCTGGACAACAGAGGGTGCTCATGGAGCAGGAGGCTCCTCCCGGGAGGCCGATTACCGCTGTGTGTTTGCAAGGAAACATGGAAACAGGCCCTGTCCATCAACAGGGCAAGGGATAAAAATTCACTGTGTGTGTATGTGTGTGTGCTCATGTGTACAGAGGTGCCAGGAAACAGTTAAATGAACTAGGGAGCTACCAGACGGCTCAACGTGGATACATCTCAGAGATAATGCAGCAGCAAAAAGTTCTGTTGCAGAATAAAATGTGTAGGGTGGTAGCATTTATGTACAATTTAAGAAGCATATAGAAGTCATTCTCCAGTGTGTATGGGCGCACAGGCAGGCAGGAGGCACATGGAGGCCTGCCCACTTGCTGTGCCCATAGACGCAGTGCTCCCACGGGCGGGATGGGCACCTGTGGCCACTTCACCACATCCAGCTCCTCCTTTTGCACCTGAGGCCTGAGGGGAAGGAGGACGCTCTGAAGCCAGGGAAACCCCAGCAGGTGTTGAAGCTTGGGGTGGGGTGCATACAGTTTGTTACCATGTTCTCTGTACTTCTCAGGAATGTTTTAGGAGCATCAGCCTGACTTCTCATCCCTTTCCTCCCCACCTCAGTTCCGGATTTTGGAAGGTTCACGAGTGTTGCCGACACACCCTCCCAGCTGCAGACATCCTCCCTGGAGGACCTGCTGTGCTCACATGCCCCCCTGTCCAGCGAGGACGACACCTCCCCGGGCTGTGCAGCCCCCTCCCAGTCACCCTTCAAGGCCTTCCTCGGTCCCCCGGAGCTGCACAGCCACCGAGGCACCGACAGGAAGCTGTCCCCGCTCCTGAGCCCCTTGCAAGACTCACTGGTGGACAAGACCTTGCTGGAGCCCAGGGAGATGGTCCGGCCTAAGAAGGTGTGCTTCTCGGAGAGCAGCCTGCCCACCGGGGACAGGACCAGGAGGAGCTACTACCTCAACGGTATGGCCAGGTGCGGGGACGCCTGGGCGGGCCCCCAGTGCTGTTGGTAGCTGTGGGGAGGGCGCGTCTAGGTGGTCAGGCAGGGCCGTTTCTCCATCGCGTCACACAGAGTGGAGGGAGGAGAGCCAGGCTGGGAGGCTGGGGTCCGAGGCTGTGTCTGTCCTAGTCTTTTGCCAAGAAAAAATGCGTTGCTTGTCTTCTTGGGAAGGGTTCTTTACGTGTCTGGATGCGAGTCCTTTTTTAGGTGTATGTTTTGCAGATACGGTCTCCCACTCCAAGGTTTTCCACTTCCATCATGTTTTTTGATGAGCAAAACTGTTTCATTTGATGATGTCCAGTTTATTGATTTTTCTTTTGTAGTTTATGCTTTTTATGTTCAGTTTAAGAAATCTTTGCCAAGCCCAAGGTCACACAGATTCTCTCCTATGTGGTGTTCTAGAAGTTTTTTAGTTTAGGTTTTACATGTAGGTCTCTGATCAATTCCAAGATAATTTTCATGTATGGTGTGAGGTTTGCATGTAGATATCCACCTGAGGCTCAGGCTAACCCCCCACCTCAGCCTCCCAGGTATCTGGGACTACAGGTATACGCCACCAGGCCTGGCTAATTTTTTGCTTTTTGTGTTTTTGTTGTTGTAGAGATGGGATTTTGCTCCGATGCCTAGGTTGGTCTTGAACTCCTGGACTGAAGTAATTCGCCTGCCTCAGCCTCCCAAAGTGCTGGGATTACAGGCATGAGCCAACATGCCTGGCCTGTCAATTTTATTTATCTTTTCAAATAACCAATTTTTTGTTACATTGATCTTTTGTATTGTTTTCTTCATTTAAATTTCATTTATTTCTGCTCTGATCTTAATTGTTTTTCTTCTAATTTTGGATTTGGTTTGCTCATGCTTTTCTAGCTCTGTGAGATGAATCATTAGCTTGTTTATTTGAAGTTTTTCTACTTTTTGATGTAGGCACTAATAGCTGTAAACTCTTAATACTTATCGCTATAGCTCTTAGTATGGCTTTTGCTGTGTCTAGTACATACTAGGTTTTGGTATGTTGTGTTTCCATTATCATTTGTTTCAAGACATTTTAAAATTTCCTTCTTAATTTCTTCATTGATGCACTGGCCATTCAGGAGCATATTGTTTAATTTCTGTGTGTTGGTATAGTTTCCAAAATTCCTTTTGTTATTGATTTCCTTTTATTCCATTGTGGTCAGAGAAGATACTTGATACAATTTCAATTGTTTGATTTTTTTTTTTTTGAGACAGAGTCTCGCTGTGTTGCCCAGGCTGGAGTGCAGTGACCGGATCTCGGCTCACTGCAAGCTCTGCCTCCCGGGTTTACGCCATTCTCCTGCCTCAGCCTCCTGAGTAATTGGGACTACAGGCGCTCGCCACCTCACCCGGCTAGTTTTTTTGTATTTTTTAGTAGAGACGGGGTTTTACCGTGTTAGCCAGGATGGTCTCGATCTCCTGACCTCGTGATCCGCCCGTCTCGGCCTCCCAAAGTGCTGGGATTACAGGCTTGAGCCACCGCGCCCGGCCAATTGTTTGATTTTTAAAGACTTGTTTTGCAGCCTAACATATGCTCTATCCTTGAGAATGATCCATGTGCTTACGAGAAGCGTGTGTATTCAGCACCTGTTGGATGAAATGTTCTGTAAATATCTATTATGTTCATTTGGTCTATAGTATCGATTAAGTCTGATATTCTTTGATTTTCTGTCTTAAAGATCTGCCAAGGGTGAAAATGGGTCTTGAAGTCTCCAGTTACTATTGTATTGGGGTCTGTCTCTCGCTTTAGCTCTGGTAATATTTGCTTTACATATCTGGGTGCTCCAGTGTTGGGTGCATATATATTTACAACTGTTACATCCGCTTGTTGAATTGACCCCCTAATCATTACCTTCTTTGTCTCTTTTTATAGTTTTTGTCTTGAAATCTGCTTTGATGAAGTATGGCTACTACTGCTCTTTTTTGGTTCTCATTTGCATGGAATATCATTTTCTATCCCTTTATTTTCAGTCTATGTGTGTCTTTGTAGGCAAAGTGTATTTCCTGTAGGCAATAGATGGTTGGGTCTTTTTTTTTTTTTTTTTTTTTTAATCTATTCAGCCACTCCTCCGTCTTTTGTTTGGAGAGTTTAGTCTATTTACATTCAGAGTTTCTTGTTTTTTTTTTTTTTTTTTTCCCCCAGACAGAGTCTTGCTCTCTCGCCCAGGCTGGAGTGCAGAGGTGCGATATCAGCTCACTGCAAGCTCCGCCTCCCGGGTTCACACCATTCTCCTGCTTCAGCCTCCCGAGTAGCTGGGACTGCAGGCACCCGCCACCACGCCCAGCTAATTTTTTGTATTTTTTAGTAGAGACGGGGTTTCACCATGTTAGCCAGGATGGTCTTGATCTGCTGACCTCGTGATCCGCTCACTTCAGCCTCCCAAAGTGCTGGGATTACAGGCGTGAGCCACCGCGCCTGGCCTGTTTTTGACCAAACTCACACACCATCATTCATCGATTTGACGGTGCTGTAATTTTTTTTTTTTTTTTTTTTTTTTGAGACAAAGTCTCACTTTGATGCCCAGGCTGGAGTGCAGTGGCACAATCTTGGCTCACTGCAACCTCCATCTCCTGGGTTCAAGCAATTCTCATGCCTCAGCCACCTGAGTAGCTGAGATTACAGCCACATGCCACCAGGCCCAGCTAATCTTTGTATTTTTAGTAGAGATAGGGTTTTGCCATGTTGGCCAGGCTGGTCTCGAACTCCTGACCTCAAGTGATCCACCCCCCTCGGCCTCCCAAAGTACTGGGATTGCAGGCATGAACCACTGTGCCCGGCCTATTTACATTCAAAGTTATTATTGATAAGGACTTACTCCTGCCATTTTGTTATTTGTTTTCTCATTGTTTTGTGGTCTTCCCTCCTCTTTATCTAGAAGAGTTTGTGTTGAATTGGTGTTATTTATTCCTTAAGTGGTAGAATTCACTGCTGAAACTACCTGAGCCTTGAATGGTCTCTATAGGAACATTTTTCCCCTACAAATTCCATTTTATTGATAATATCAACTGAAATTAAGGCTGTTGAGACAGAAATAATTCGATAAAGATTTGTTGGAAGCCAAATGTGAGGATCAACCCACAGGAACACACCCACAAAGCTAAGAGTGTTCTGGAACGTAAGTCAGAAGACTTCTATAGGAGAGGCTATAGGAGAAGGGAAAGGACTCCTCATACTCATGTTGCCCTTTCTTTGGAGGGTACAACACAGAGGTTACAAGCATTGGCTACAGATGATAACACACAGGCCAACCCGTCTCTGTGCAAGACAGTCAGTAAACCTTTATGATTCAGGAATGAATCAGCGTCCTTTCAGTGCATTAATCAGCACATCAGCAATCTGAGGGAATCGTGGTAAGATTCTTTTCTCAGGGATCATCAATCACAAGGTTTTCCCAAGGCCAGTTTGGAAGTCTGTTTCCTGTCAAATGTGACCTGTAAGGTTATCAGATAGAAGGCTATTCAGATTATGTGTTTCTTCTTGAGTGAACTTTGGTAGTTTGTGTCTTTTAAGGAATCAATCAATTTCATCTAGGTTGTCAAAGTTATTGGCATAAAGTCATTCGTAATACTTCCTTATTATCCTTTTTATGTCTATAGAATCTGTGGTAGTGGCATCTCTAATTTCCGTTAGTGGTAATTTTTGTCTTCTTTCTTTTTTCCCCTAAGTCTGGCTACAGGTTTATCAATGTATGGCCTTTTTTCTTTGAAGAATAGGTTTTTGGCTGGATCTTACAGAGCACAGGTTGGACTAGAAATCATTTCTAGAACCTATATTAGAATCATTTCTCACCTATAGCATGTTTCTTCTACCTACTTTATGCCTTGGTAGGTGGGGATGAGAGAAAGAGCTTGATTCTTTTTTTTTTTTTTTTGAGATGGAGTCTCACCCTGTTGCCCAGGCTGGAGTGCAGTAGCGTGATCTTGGCTCACTGCAACCTCCACTTCCCAGGTTCAAGCCATTCTCCTGCCTCAGCCTCCCGAGTAGCTGGGATTACAGGCGCCTGCCACCACACCTGGCTAATTTTTGTATTTTCAGTAGAGACAGGGTTTCACCATTTTTGCCAAGCTGGTCTCGAACTCCTGACCTCGTGATCCACCCACCACGGCCTCCGAAAGTGCTGGGATTACAGGCGTGAGCCACCGTGCCTGACCAAGAGCTTGATTCTTGATGACAGAAATACAATGATACAGAAGGAGGAGATTATACCTGCTCCTCCACACCCCTTATTGGCCCTAACATACTTCTGTGTAGTGTGTTGGCGTACCTCTTCTGCACGTTGACTAACCTCTTCTGCACGTTGACGTACCTCTTCTGCAGTCTTGAAAAGTTATTGGGAAAGAAATACAGTGAAAACTACAAACATTATTGAAAGGAATGAAGAAGTCATCAATGACCAGGCACGGTGGCTCACACCTGTAATCCCAGCATTTTGGAAGGCTGAGATGGGCAGATCTCTTGAGCCCAGGAGTTCAAGACCAGCCTGGGCAACAGGGCAAAACCCCATCTCTACCAACCCCCCACCCCCCAGATTAGCTGGGCGTAGTGGTGCATGCCTGTGGTCCCAGCTATTCAGGAGGCTGAGGTGGGAGGATCACTTGAGCCCAGAAGATAGAGGTTGCAGTGAGCTGAGATCGTGCCACTACACTCCAGCCTGAGTGACAGAGTGAGACCCTTTCTCCAAAAAACAAACAAAAAATAAATAAAAATAAATAAACAGAAAAACATCTTGTGTTAACAGATTAGAAGACTTTATATTGTTTAATAATCAATAATTTTGATATGGATTACATTGGATCTACAGATCCATGCAATCCCAATCAGAATCCCAGTGGATTGACAGAAATTGACAAGCAGAAACTTAAATTCATATAGAAGTGTAAGGAACCAGAATAGGTAAAACAATCTTGGAAAGGGAGAACAACATTCCCAAGTTTCAAAGCTGACTGTAAAACTTACAGTTACCAAGACTGTGGTACTGCCATAAGGATGGACATACAGATCAATGCAATGGAATTGGAAGGTCAGAAATAAACCCGTACGTAGATGGTTTTCAACAAGAGTGCCAAGACATTTCAGTAGGGATAGAATACTGTTTAACAAGTGGTGCTGGAACAAGGAGGTAAGCCAAAGAATGAAGCTGGGCCTTATTCCATAGCACACACAAAAATTAACTCAAAATGGATCAAAGACCTAAGAGGTCCCAAAGAACTGAGACCAGAAAACTCATAGAAAAGCCATAAGGGTAAATCTTCGTGACCTTGGATTTGGCAATGGATTCTTAGCACACCAAAAGCATGAGCAAAGAGACAAACAGACAAATTGGACTTCATCAAAAGTAAAACAAAACAAAAAACTTTTGTGCTTCAAAGGACAGTATTAAAAAAATGAAAAGCCAACCCAGAGAATGGGAGAAAACATTTGTAAATTGTGCATTTGAAATGGGACTAGTATGCAGAATATTTAAGAACTCTGACAATTCAACAGTAAGAAGACAAATAATCCAATGAAAAATCGCTATACGACCTGAGTAGATATTTCTCCAAAGAAGATACAGTATATAAATGGCCAATAAGCACGTGAGAAGATGCTAACATCACTAGACATTAGTGAAATGCAAATGAGATGCTGTTTCCCATCCCTCAGGAAAAAGATGGACAAGGTCATGTGCTGTTACGGACTCAGATGCCATCAGAGGCTGTCCTGGGGCGGGGGGTTTGGAAGCAGGTTTTGTGGGGGCATTGGAGACTCCTAAGTAATGTCGAGGAAGTAATTAAAATAGAACGTCCTGGGCCAGGCATGGTGGCTCACGTCTGTAATCCCAGCACTATGGGAGGCCCAGGTGGGTGGATCACCTGAGGTCAGCAGTTCGAGACCAGCCTGGCCAACATGGTGAAACCCCATCTCTACTAAAAATACAAAAACTTAGCTGGGTGTGGTGGCATGCAGCTATAGTCCCAGCTACTCGGGAGGTTGAGGCAGGAGAATCGCTTGAGCTCGGGAGGCGGAGGTTGCAATGAGTGGAGATGGCACCACTGCACTCCAGCCTGGATGATAGAGCGAGACTCCGTCTTAAAAAAAAGAATGTTCTGCCAATCCAGCGATCATCTTCTCAGAGGTAGGAAAGAATGAAGCCATTTTACTGAATAAACATTAAAGCAGCCTTTGATGCCCAGAGGTTGCCAAGACAGAGGAAGGGGTGAGGTCCCCCTTCCTCCCAGGCAAGCCGACTGGCCCTATTCCACAGGCGTCCTCACTGGAGGGGACCCGTCCGAACTCACATCTCCAGGGCCGGGTTCCTCTGTCCTCGCAGGGCCAGCGCTGGGGCAGGCTCCCCCGTGACAGGGGACCAGTTCCCACCCCCAAGATTAAAAGGTTTACCTCATCCCAAAGGGACAGAGGGGAGCCGAGGACAGGGCGAAGGGAAACCTGTCTTACCCTTTGGCACTTTAAGAAGCTCCTTTTCTTTCAGATTCTATTTGCCAGACAGTGGGAGGTGGCGGCAGGCGGAGGGGAGGCGGATGGAGGAGCCGCCCCCCACGTGGCCGGGGGACAGGGGGCGGTGGGGAACCCTCTGGGGCAATGGATCCTCGCGCTCCCCTGACCTTGTCCCCGGCCTTCCCTCCCCCAGAGATCCAGAGCTTCGCGGGCGCCGAGAAGGACGCGCGCGTGGTGGGCGAGATCGCCTTCCAGCTGGACCGCCGCATCCTGGCCTACGTGTTTCCCGGCGTGACGCGGCTCTACGGCTTCACGGTGGCCAACATCCCCGAGAAGATCAAGCAGGTGCGCCCCGCGGGGAGGGCGCGGCCAGAAGGGTGCGGGGCGCTCGGTTCGTCCTTGTGAGGCCCCCAGATCTTGGCTCTTGTCCGGGCGCTGTCCGCGGGAGGGGACCCCGGGGACCCAGGAGGGTGGGGCAGGGGTCGGCCCTGGGCCTGGAAGTCCCCGTCCGAGGACCCCGAGGTCCCCCCCGCCTCCGCCATCCATGCGCTGCGCCCACAGACCTCCATCAAGTCCCTGGACGGCTCCGTGGACGAGAAGAAGCTGCGCGAGCTGACGCAGCGCTACCTGGCCCTGAGCGCGCGCCTGGAGAAGCTGGGCTACAGCCGCGACGTGCACCCGGCGTTCAGCGAGTTCCTCATCAACACCTACGGAATCCTGAAGCAGCGGCCCGACCTGCGCGCCAACCCCCTGCACAGCAGCCCGGCCGCGCTGCGCAAGCTGGTCATCGACGTGGTGCCCCCCAAGTTCCTGGGCGACTCGCTGCTGCTGCTCAACTGCCTGTGCGAGCTCTCCAAGGAGGACAGCAAGCCACTCTTCGCCTGGTGAGCCGCCCCGCGCCCACCGCCGTGCCTGCAGTAAACGCGTTTGTTCCAACGCGGAGGCCGTGGTGCCTCCTGCGCGTCCTCCCGGAGGGGAAAGGGCCGCGCCCCCCGCGCGCGAGGCCGGAGCAGGCGCCTCTCCCGCCCGTGCTGGGCCCCGACCGCAGCCCGCCGCTGCCCGCACCTGCGGAGTGCTTGTCACCCCTCATTAAAGTCATCCGTTTGCTTGTCTGCCTTTACTAAACTCTGGCTCTTTGAGGGCGTGGAGGGCGCCTGCAGGAAGCGCCGCTCGGTGCTCCTGGCGGGAAGCCGGGAAGGAGCCGCAGGCTGCAGGGACCCCCGCTCCCCACTTTCTTCTCCGCCCTCCTCCACCCCCCCCCCCGGGCCTCCGCACCCACCCGCTTTCCCGCCCGGGACGACGAGTCCTGTCCCAGTTTGAGTTTCCCCAAATGCGGAGCTGGGGTAAGGAGTTGGTTCTGGCGGATGGTTGCGCACCCCTGCAGGCAAAATGGAAACGCAGCCCCTTGTTCAAAAGCGAAGAATTCGAAGAATTCGAAAGGGCAACAGCCGAGCGTTACAGTGAACCGGGGCCTTAGGACTGAGCGGTGGCAACGCAGGCGGGCGAGCGCCAGGGAGCCCTGGAGACCATGGGGGTGCCGGGGGTGGGCGAGCGCCAGGGAACCCTGAGACCGTGGGCGTGCCGGGGGTGGGCGAGCGCCAGGGAGCTCCAAGACTGTGGGCGTTCTGGGGGTGGGCGAGCGCCAGGGAGCCCTGGAGACCATGGGGATGCTGGGGGTGGGCGAGCACAGGGGAGCCCCGGAGACCATGGGGGTGCCGGGGGTGGGTGAACGCCTGGGAACTCCGAGACCATGGGGGTGCACTTTGCGCCATACTGGAGCGGGGAGCTGGGGAGCTTACCCATCAATTCCCCTCCCCCTGGGTCATCTCCCTGCAGGAGGCCAGAACGACAGGCACTCTGAATTGGCGAGACCTTGGGGCTGAGGAGATACCCAGTTCCAAAGTGCCCTGGAACAAGGGGCATTTACCGTGTCTCAGGGGAGTCTTGGCTCACGCCGCACAAGCCAGCGTGCTCAGCCTGGCCCCACACTGTCTCAGCAATAGTGGCGGGGACGGCAGGGCTGTCACACATTAACAGTTCAGAGCCCGATGGAGGCTGCTGGGGACCCCATTCTGGCTGGTAGCTAGGACATTCAGCTCCCAGGTGCAGATGGGCTGGATCCTGGGGTGGGCGCCCAACTTCATGCCCCGCAGATGTGGGGCCTGCTGGCCTGGGAAGCTCTGGCTGGGTGCTGATTTCTGGCCTTATGTTTGGGGATCGCCTGTGGCCACACCCGCACTGGGCTGGCTCTGTGGTTGGGCCAGGAGCTTTGGGCCCCAGGCCTAGGGCTGCAGCCACATAGTCTCAGCCGGGTGATCCATGCCCCCTTCCCCTCGGTGCCAGTGAGTGGATACTTCCAGCAAGCCTGGGATAGGCAGGGCTGTGATGAAACGCACCAGGATTGAGTTCAGTTGGGTGTGGTGGGATACAGACATGGGAACCCTGACTTGAAAGGAGAGTGTCACGAAGTACTGCAGACCCAGCAGCTTAAACCACAGGAGGGCACGCGCCATGCCACACAGGGCCACCGGGGGGCGCCGCGGCAACAGGACCCGGAAGGCGAGAGGGGAGAGCGTGGCCAGAGACTTCACAGGGGTTTCCCTGGGAAGAGAGGCCAGGGAGGGTGGGCGCGAAGGAGCAAGTTTGGGATTGGACAGGTTAATTTCCTTGGGCTCCGGGCTATGGGGTGGTGTCTAGTTGGCCACCATCCTGCCCCTGGGTGATTGAGGGCAGAGGAACGTAGGTTTGGTGAGTGAGTCAGATAAGGGGTGGTTGGGTTTACAGGCTCCAGTTGGGTTGGCTTGTGCATTAAAGGGGAGCTCTGTAGGCACCTTGTGCTGTCTCTAGGAATTAGCCAGCCCTGGGAGAGCAGTCTCCACCCAGCCAGTAAGGAGAGGTCAAAGCATCATAAACCAGCAAACAAAAAGCACGTGAGTTATACGGGAACAGTCTGGTGGCAGGTGGCAGTCAGTGCCTGCGCTCTGCATCTCTAGAAGAAGGAGGCTCTCAGCCTCTGGCCATGGGTCCCCCAGACAACCTTGGTGTTTTCCAGGATCTTGGGCTTGACTTGGAGTGGCCCCTGGGGGCTGTCGCTGGGGTGGTGCCCATGGCTCACCCTCTGTCCATATAGTGCGGCCCATGGTGTCCACTGTGCTGGGCCAGCCTGGGGGGGCCCCTGTGGTCAGAGGCTGGACCCCCACCCTGGCAGTGCCACCCCCTAGGCTGCAGGTGCACATGGAACTTTCCAGAGGGCTCCCCTGCAGAGAGAGTGGAGCCCATTCCTGCACTTTTTCTTACTATACTATTAAAATGAGGGGAAATGGGAACCGGGTGAGGAGGGTGGCCCTGAAGTGGCTGGTGTGGCCGTGTCTCCTGGGGCAGCACCCGCACCCTGGGCACCAGCTCTTCCATCTGTAGACAGGAGGGCAGTGAGCTTCTGGGGGACTATTTCCTCCCGCTGGGATGGAGGCGGGCACCGGCCCAACTGAACTCAGATTCTCCTGCACACAGCTTCTGTATTCAGTCATTTACTCACGGGCCCGCGATGTGTGTCTCATGCTCTGGGGTAGAAAAGTGTATGGTCTGCCTGGCTCTGGAATCAGAGCTGGGGAGAGATGGTAGAAACCCTGGTGTGGGCATGGCTGAGATTCTTTCTCCTGTAAGTGGGGTTCCTTAGGGTCCCCGATTCAGGAGCTATTTACAGCACCTGCCAGCATTTCTAATGTCTCAGTGCTGCCCCCAAGAACCAGCACCCGTGTCACGACCGGCCCCGTTCCCCTTCGTGTTCTCAGCTGTAGCCAAGCCCTGGGCCCGCAGCAGTTGGGTAGGACACGCGTGCAGCTCCTGCTGGGGCCTCGCGCCCCAACCCTCTCTCCTGACAGGTGATTTGCTGGGCTGGAGGACAGGGCCAGGTCTTGGCCTTGGCACCGTCCTGGGTCACGAGTGGATGGCTCCGGTCACTCCACTGTGGTGTGAGGATGAAGGTGTCAGCCCAGTGTGGGCAACCCTCGCAGCCAGCATGTTCTGATGCCCCGCACCTGTGGGTGTGTGCTGCTGGCGTCACAAAGTACCGCAGTCCCAGCAGCTTAAACCACAGAAATTTATTCTGTCGAAGTCCTGAAGGCCCAGAGTACAAAATCAAAGCATCCGCAGACTCTGTTTGTCTGAGGCCTCTCTGCTAGGTGCAGGCGGCCGTCTCCCTGCTTGGTCCTCCTGGCCCTTTCTCTGAGTGCATCCCTGATGCCTCTCCCTCTTCTCACCACCCTGTCCATCTCCACATCCAATCCAGTCTGCCGTGCTGGGGGTCAGGCCTTCAGCAGATGGTTTCTCGAGGGGATGCAGTACAGCCCTCAACAGACCCCATCCTCCCCTCCCGGCCTCCACAGAGCCCTGACCCCATCCTCGCCTCCCGGCCTCCACACAGCCCTGACCCCATCCTCCCCTCCCGGCCTCCACAGACCCCTGACCCCATCCTTCCCTCCTGGCCTCCACAGAGCCCTGACCCATCCTCCCCTCCCGGCCTCCACAGAGCCCTGAGCCCATGCTCCCCTCCCGGCCTCCACAGAGCCCTGAGCCCATCCTCCCCTCCCGGTCTCCACAGAGCCCTGACCCCATCCTCCCCTCCCGGCCTCCACAGAGCCCTGACCCCATCCTCCCCTCCCGGCCTCCACAGAGCCCTGACCCCATTCTCTCCTCCCATCCTCCCCTCCCAGCCTCCAGACATGGAGCCCTGGCCGGGGAACTCTGTGTGCTCCCAGCCTCTGAAGGTTTCTGGGCTTACCTGGCTCCTCTCTCATCCCAGTCCCCTTGAGTAGCCACAGAGGTGGGGTCCCTAAGGCCCACATGGCTGAGGTTCCATTAAGAACTTCAAGTGGGGCTGGGCTCAGTGGCTCACATCTGTAATTGCAGCACTTTGGGAGGCCAAGGCAGGAGGATCACTTGAGCCCAGGAGTTTGAGACCAGCCTGAGCAACATGGTGAGACCTCATGTGTATTCGTCTGTTCTCATGCTGCTAATAAAGACATACCCAAGACTGGGTACTTTTTAAAGAAAAAGAGGTTCAATGGACTCAACAGTTCTGCGTGGCTGGGGAGGCCTCACAATCGTGGTAGAAGGTGAAAAAGGAGCGAGGTCGTGTCTTACAAGAGGGCGTGGACAGGGAACTGACCTTTATAAAACCATCAGATCTCGTGAGACTCTTCACTACCACAAGAACAGCACCGGGAAAAGTCGCCCCCATGATTCAGTGACCTCCCACCGGGTCCCTCCCATGACGTGGGGATTATGGGAGCTACAATTCAAGATGAGATTTGGGTGGGGACACAGCCAAGCCATATCACCATGTCTACCAAAAATCGAAAAATGAGCCGGTGCAGTGGTGTGTGCCTGTGGCCCCAACCGCTCAGAAGGCTGAGGTGAAAGGATCTCTCGGGCCTGGGGGCTAAGGCTGCAGGAAGCCATGATTGTGCCACACTGTACATCCAGCCTGGATGAGAGTGAGACTTTGTCTCAAAAAAAAAAAAAAAAAAGAGAAAATAAAAGCACCACAAGTGGGCAGCGGCTGAACGTGGAGACAGGAGTTGTCCCTTGTGAGCATGGCCCTGGCGCTGCTGATTTCATGGGGGAGCCTCCAGTCCGGGGAGCAGCAGCTGCGGAGAGCTGGGGCCTCTCTCACCTACCTTCCCCCACATCACACATGCCCCCTCTCGTGTGTGTCGGCACTCACACGCTGCTCCCCTGCCCCACGCTCACACGTATCCTCGCTCACTCTCACCACGCGTGCTCCTGCCCACGCTCCACCGCGTATCCTCGCTCACTCTCCTGCACGCGTGCTCCTGCCCCACGCTCCACCCACGTATCCTCGCTCCTCTCCCACCGCAGCGTGCTCCTGCTTGCGGCTCACCTGCGTATCTCGCTCCCACTCTACACCGCACACGCTCACACGTATCCTCGCTCACTCTCACACGCGTGCTCCCCTGCATTCTCCTGTTGAGCTGAGCTGACCTCAGTGGGGTGCTGCAAGCCAGGGCCTCACACTGGCCTCTCGCCCACCACAGCCCTGGGGTCCAGGCTCCTCCAGGAACAAGCGCAGGCCCCTGGGCTCCCTGGAACCTCCCAGAA